TCCATCCATCCATCCATCCATCCATCCATCCATCCATCCATCCATCCATCCATCCATCCATCCCTATCTGTTTTTGTTTTAAAAAGCCCTTGTGTGAGCTGCCTTCCTCAGCCCCTTCCCATGAAGGCTTATCTTCTGCAACCTTCAGCTATTTGGAAATAATTACCCTTGTTAAAAAGCATTTTGTAAAAGTAACATTTTCTACATATTCCTGAGAAACCCATCCATGAAATTACAGTGCCCTGGCACCACACAAACGCAGMCTCTTATAAAGGCTCCCATTCTACCCTCAATGCATTCAAAAGCAGAGCTGTTCTCAGGTGCCACAAATTCTATTAGTTTAAAAAACTCTCTGCACTCCTCTGACACAAAATCCTGGACTGCAGGGYTTAAGGAGCCCATTCCTGCCTGACCACCTTAAATATTTGTGGTTGGAGCTGGCAGCTCCTGTGAAACCAAGCACACACACTGACGTTCTGGTGCAAGCTCCCTGTCTGGAACTGCACACTGTGCTGGGAGCAGGGAATTCAGGCGAGCACAACTGCAGAATTACACTGACACACAATCAACCTTTTCATTTTAGAAAAAAAAAAAAAAATCAGAAAAAAACCCCTTCTGCCCCTCTGAGCTCTGTGCCACCTGAAATGCACCCAGACAGGCAGGATGATAAGCCTGTGGTGACAGGATTTTGTTGTAGAGTTGTCCTATCCTGACATGGGGTGACAAGAAATCGTGTCCCACTGTGGCTCTGTTTTTGTCCCCACAAAGCCCCCGACACAGGAGAGCACTGAGCAGACCTGGCTGACAAAGGAGGAAGCAAATCCCAGCCATAATTATGTATAAAATTTCTCCCACAGCACAAAAAGTCAGTGACAGAATTCACTGTAGGAATTCTGAAACCATGCAGGATTTCAGTGAAAGAAACTGTTCRAGTTCTGAGGAAGAGTAGGAATCATTCTCCAATGATTTTCTGCTTTTCCAACAAAGGACAATTCTGCTTTCCTAACAAAAAATTCCAAACTCTGATAAAGGAGAAGCTTCAACAGCTCAGCCAATAACATTTGCTAGAACAGGATCTACTACAGACAATGTCTACTCCTATCCCATTGACATTAAATTGCATTTTATCATGAAAYAGTGAATTGCTTCATATTGGAAATACAGTCTGGGCTGGGAGAAACCAAAGGATTCCCATAAGATGGCTGTGAAGATGGCATATACATTCGTGCTTAAGCCAATTAATTWWTTYCAAAATATGGACACAATAACCCAGYACCAAGATTATTTTTTCTCTCAATGACAGCAGACTCAGAGGCCACAGACAAGCCTGGAGCCTTCCTGTGTGTTCACACAGCCACCAGTCATTAAATGTTTCAAGAGTTCCTCTCAATTTGATGGCAAATCAGAGGCTTTTTGAGACCTACTTTGAMATATTTTGGCAATTTTATCCCTTGAAAACAATGCTGTAAAAACTGAAAGTGCTATTTCAGGTTTTTCTTGTAAAAGAATGTCTCTCCAAACCAAGTAGCAGAGGAAATAACAACAAAACTTTTACACCAATGAAAAAAATTCTTCCCTTGTTGTATCTATTGCTCAATCACAGCAGGGCAGTGATAACAACAGGGCATCAGGAAGTGAGAAACTAGAAAAGAATGACACTGATTTGATCAGCTTCATTTGGTTTTAGTTAAATGAAACAAAATGGGAACATACCTGAAATAAGATTTTCAGGCTGAACTCACTGCAGGCTGGACAGCTTTTGAAAATGCTGCAGTTTGTATATTCACAAATAAATATTACAGAAATAAATCAGTGTTTTATGACACACTGRTCTCTAAAAATAACCAAGTTGTGTGTGACCTGTTTGCTATCGCCCTCACTGTGTGATTTTCATTCAGGAAAAAGGAAAGCAAAGCCAACARAATATTTCAGCTGAATTACTGATGACTAAATTACTCTCCAAAGCAAAGAATCAAAGCAGTGAAGGCCAACTTACCGTCTCTCCCCATTATGTTCAAACTTTATCCTGACATCATTCTGCAGGAGAAAGGACAAAAGGTGAGCTCACAATCAAACTCTGGCAYTCASAAGAGCACAYAAATTTATTTTATWATTTATTTTATTTATTATGATTTTAATATTTTAACCTTCTTCATGGAGGCTGAAGCAGAAAGTGGAAAAGAGTGGCCAATACATGAATACAGTGCATGAGGAATGGAGAAATTGCTGAAGGAGAAAGAGAAGGAAATGGGTAAAAACTAAGATGTAATTTTTGTAAACTGCCACTCAAGCAGAGTACATTGAAATAAACTTTAAAGAAAATTAATCTATCTTTAACACTGCATGGGAAAAAATCTGAAATTCAGTGCTAACTGCTGATTAATCTGAACTGAAGCTAATTTTCTTTAAGCACTCTCAAAGCATGCATGGTAAAAAAGAGAGATAAAAGGAACGTGCTACATTCTTTATTCTTACTCCTATTTCTTATTTTTATTCCCATTTATTATTCTTTATTCTTAAGACATGCTTTTGCAAAACTGCAGCCCCTGAAACTCAAACWGAATTACAAACAGGCTGATTTTCTGTCACTTTTTAAAGCTCCAAGGTTTCATCAGAGGGGTCATCATTTCTATCTGGATTGGTTAAATCTGATTAATTCTGATTAATCTGGATGGTAAAAAGCACTGACTGTGCAGTCACTTGAAAACCCAGAAGATGTTCTGTGGCATGGAAGARTCAAAAAGATGAACTTTCAACCCTGGACATCAAAGTTCAAATCCCAATTTAGGTCAGAAAGATAAAAATAAAAGGGAAAAATCTGCTCYGATAAGACTCCATCATTTCTGCTGCACAATTTATGTGATTGGAATAGATTAAGCCATCTGTGAAAGCCTCAGACAATAGGCAATCATACATCTAGGAACTTCAAAAAAACGTGGCCAGGAAATGCTCTTTAGCTGGGAGGAAGTTTCTGGCAGGCCCAGTGGTCAAGAATGCAGTTCAAAAGGACCCACGGAGTCCCTGGGAGCACATGGGATTCCTGCAGAAAGAATCCTGGACCAGGAAAAATGGGATTCCCAATCCCAGCCACCACCAGCTGCAGGTGGGTCATTCACACACACCTTGAAAAGGTGTTTTTTTAGATGTAGAGAGAAAAAAACTCAGTCTAAAACGACTCCAAAAGGAAACAAATTCTAGAGAACTCATTTGAATTGAGCAGTAAAGGAACAATGCAGCAAACAGCAAAGGAATAACATCCTACAAAAACCAACTCTGCTGATGGAACAGTTTTTCTTAGACATATGGCGTGGAGGAATTATTACTTTACATCAGGATTTTCAGGAGAATAAGGCTCTGGGGTTTTTTTTGGTTTTTTCTTTTTCTTTTAAAATTTTTCTTCTTTTTTTTTTTTTTTTTTTTTTTTTTTTTTTTTTTTTTTTTTGTTTGGGGCTTTTTTTCCCCCCTTAATGCTATATTATTCTAAGCAGCCCAGTCTAAAGGAACTAAACAGGACGGTTTGGATGAAATGGAATTCAAACCATTTCTCAGATGAAATTTCTGACCTCAAGATGTGGTTTAGGCCCTGGAGCAGCCAAGTGACACAGCTCTCACCAGCTGAAATCAGACAACACTAAAATATCCTCAGGGGTCTTTGGAACATTCTGTTTAACCTAAGCAAACTCCAACCACTTTCTCAACTCCACTGCTTGCTTTGAAACCTGTAATTTGGAATAAAGCAAAAAGGGGATGGAATTTGGCATTTATTGCTTGATTTTCCCAAAAGGACCTGTCACTGGCCGTTCATGCCTACTTATCAAAGATCTCAGAAAAGGTGCTCAGAGTGATTTTGGTATTTGAGTTAAGCATTCAGTGCTTTCAGTTTCCCTTGAAAGCAGTGAACCCATCACTTCTTAAATCAATTCACATGAACTGTCCTCAGAGATGATTAAAAAGGCAAATCCAAGTTTAGCATTTCGCTGCTCCAGTTCTGAGACGTGGCATCATAAATCACAATTACAGATTTTGATTTAAGGCATTTCTGAATTTGTGTTTCCGAGTGATTTGGAAAGGATTTTGTATTACACCATCTATGGATTTGTCCAACACATTCAAGGAAATCCCAGATCCAGCTGAACAAGTAGATTACGAGCAGGCAAAGCATAAGGAAGACAGACACAAACTTCAAAGCCTGATCTAAAAAGCTTAAACCTGTAACAGGAATAAAACTGAAAAGAGTTCTTTTACTGACACAGGAAACTTCTCCTGTTCATGTTGGTCTTGCTGCCAGTAGCATGATTTAATTTTGAATGTCAGTAATGGACAAACAGCTCTTGACTGAAAGTGTTGATTTTGCTTTGAAGCATTTAATTTAAATGGCATTCAGCATCTCCAGACAAARCTGCTTTATTCTGYCCTCCCTWTTTAACCATTAATACCATYGTTTTCTCCATGAAAAATGGARGAATGTGGAACAAAACTAAAGAGATTTTGAAGCATTGACTTCACCAGTTCTTACCCTKGGAGCCACAGACTGGTTTGGGTTGGGAGGGACCTCAAAGCTCATCCAGTGCCAMCCCTGCCATGGCAGGGACACCTTKCACTGTCMCAGGGTGCTCCAAGCCCTGTCCAACCTGGCTTTGGACACTGCCAGGGATGGAAACCCATCCCAGCCCCTCCYCACCCTTCCAGGAAAGAATYCCTTCCCAAAATCCCMTCTAACCCTGCCCTYCTTCAGYTTAGGGCCATTCCCCTTGTCTTCACCCTACAATAAATGTGCACACACTGCTGTATCAGAGTCAGGCAAGAAAAGCTTTCCCAGCTTACAGGAATTCCACAAAGTCCCAGCACACAACTTGAAGACACACTCCTAATTTATAACTGCTAATAGGGAAATAAAGGCAGTTTTCTCACCGGGATTTTTTTTTCTTCCACTGCAGAGGCACACTGGTTCGTTATTGCAGGGCTGCCCAAGACGGGGGGACTGCTGGCGTTGTGTTTTTTCTTTTAAAAAGAATAAAATCACTTTAAGAATGGAAATATGACTGTGAGATCAGTCACTCATTGCTAAATTTTTAAGCTGGGTAGACCAAACCCCATTAAAATACATGTGCAGAGAACGCAGTAGACTAAAATGTTGCAAATTATCAAATGCATGTRTATATGTATGTACACACACATAATCTATTAAATATTTAACGAAAATAAATATTAATTTATTATAATATAATAATAAAATAATGTATAATTAATATGTATATTATAATTCCAATAACATAATTACATAAATACATATAAATAGAAATAATATAAAATATTGACATACATAATTATAATATTTATATTAGATATACATGATATAGTATATGCAATATATATAACATATACAATATATACAATATATAATATATGATACACATATATATATATAAAAAACACATAAAATACTATATAAAATATTAAAAAAAAACCCCAAACAAACTGCCATATTTGCCATATCAGCCCCAGCCTGAGCAGGATCAAGGAGTTAATTCACACCTGATGCTTTGGCTTTTGGAAGCACAGGACAGAGCCAAGGCAGCAGATCCTCTGCCCATCTGCCCTGTCCCCAGGTCACCAGTTCAGGTAAGCACYAACCAGCCCATTACCTGTTTGTTGGAGTGAGCAGTGTCTTTATTCTTCATGGTGTCATACCCAGGCAGCCGGTGACGTCTGCCCATCTGGAGTGCCACCAGGTCCTTCATGATGGACTTCAAGGCCTCTTGTTCATCTGTGATACAAAAGAATTTGAACAGTAAATTGTCTGGGGGAGCATCAGCCGTGACATTTCTGCACCTCTGACACTTCTGCACCAGCTCATGGAACAACAATCCTTTTTAGGATCTTTGCAAATACACTGGGATTTCATTTAGCCATAAACAATCCCAAACTTATCCAAATATCATGRYATAATAAACTCACAGATAAATGTTRAGTYRCTTGTCCAGTGTCACAGAAGGATCTGGCCAGAGTAGGGGTGAGGATAAATATCCCCAGCCCCTGATTCTGTTCAAAAGGCTTCCCAACAAACAGTAAAACTTGGACAGATTTGCYAGACCATCACAGGCCATGTAGGAAGGGCAAACTGATGTGTTTCTGCCAAGSAAAACCTGGTGAAAGTCTGTTCTTTCCCATTTTATATCCTGTTAACTCTGAATTCTTGCTTGCTAGTGGAACAAACCACGGCCAGTAGAAAGARAAACGAAAATCTGGTTGAAGAATCATCTTGGACTATCTCTGAAGATAAATCCCCTTGCACTGATTGCCACAACACGTTCCTCTCTTCCCTCAGAACAAGCTGATGGAATAAAATTCAAACCATTTTATGAGATTTCAAGATCTGCTGAACAGGTTCAAGTTGTCCAGCATTATGAACACCGTCTGCTGGCAMAGGACAATGCAGCAGGTTCAATTCCAGGCTTCTTGCCTTGCAGCAAAATAAAAACAAGCATTGAATTTTTTCTTGTATGTTCCACTGACTTAAAAAATACTTTCTGGAGATTTCTGCTGTAACCAATTAAAGTATTCTCTCCCATTGCCTGTTAAGTTTTGAGAAGCGATGTTTAGCAAAACTTTGTGTGAAATTTATAGAAAAAAAAGAGGTAAAAGGAGGGAAATGCACGGTAGCTGGGCTGTGATGGATGGATCATAAAGATCTAAAACTTGTGGAAATGAATCTTTTATTTGAGCAAGGATAACGACCCCAAATTCCTTAGATATTGTAAAAGGTAAAGGAAGCTGCCCAGGGAAGTTTTGTCCAAAATGGGACTGCACTGGGCACTCACTCCCAGGCACTGTGCCACAGCCAGCAAAGCAACACCTCGTGCTGTCACTGCTCCTGGCACATCCTGCCCACTGGATTGCCTGGCTGATGGCTCAGATTTCAAAACTCAMAGAGTTTTCTGGGATAAAGTGTTGTTTCCTTGGCAAATAATACACTGAGTTAAATCCTCCCTGATATTAATGCATTACTTGGGCACAAAATTTGAGGCAGTGATTGGATCAGCTCCAGACACRCCAGGAGAATCTTTCTACATCTCTTTGTAAAAAGAGTTTGGGAAGACCTGAACCCCCAGTTTTGAATGTAAAGCTTAACTTTTTTTGAATAATTGGGACTTCTGGTAGTGAGAGAACCAGATGAGGTTATCACAGCCGTATCACACGATGTCAGGTGTGCTTGACACACACAATTCCTCCTTTCTTCCCTCAATATGCCACTTTGAGGAGTTTGAATTGAAATGAGCATTTCTGAAGCTAATTTGTCAATAACTGAAACTTAATTTTAAGAATCCACCATGACTTGGTACACACAATTCCTCCTTTCTTCCCTCAATACGCTGCTTCAAGGAGTTTGAATTGAAATGACCATTTTTGAAGCTGATTTGTCAATAACTGAAACTTAATTTTAAAAAYCCACCGTGACTACACACTCGTCCCTGATTCATAAAACTGGTTTGATGGGTAATCACTTGCATTTGGAAGAGCTGTCCTAGGAACAGCTGCTGAACATCAAATAATGGACTGAGAGATGCATCTGTATCTCTCTGTAAAAGGCACTCACTGGGACTGTTTGTTTCTGCAATTTCACGTCGTGCATTTGYTCACGAGTCTCTCCAAAGCAGTTAGCTGATGTTTTATGCAGAAGAGTGGCTTCATAATTAATCAGTGTCTGAGTAACGAGCTAGATTTTTCGCAATGCTGAAAGATGACAGATGTGGGATGCTTGCTAAGCATGAAGGGAGCTGAAGTCAGAAGGAAAACAGGGGGAAAATACATTGATTTTAAGGAGGAAATATCTGAAGAAGTCCCACTCATGACAGAAGTCACACTAGGATTATTTTTGCTACAATTAATGATTTCTGCCCAGGTCCGCTTCAGCTTTCACAGGATCCCACAATGATTTGGGTTGGAAGGGACCTCAAAGCTCATCCATTTGCACCCTGGCCTTGGGCACTGCCAGGGATCCAGGGGCAGCCACAGCTCCTCTGGGCACCCTGTGCCAGTGCCTCTCCACCCTCACAGGGAGGAATTCCTTCCAATATCCCATCCAGCCCTGCCCTCTGGCAGTTTGAAGCCATTCCCCCTTGTCCTAAACCTCCTAGTAAAGTCTCTCTCCACCTTCCTTGCAGGCTCTCTTCAGGTGCTGGAAGGTGAGTCCTAACTTCATCCTGAACGCACCCAGATTCTGAGATACCTCCACTATGCACTCCAGAATGTTCTATCAAAAACCAGAAACATCAAGCCTAGACCAGACCATGAAAGCAAACGGGAAAAAAATCTCCCAATGCATCCGCAGAAGGTGTTAATTACAGAAAAACTCTTTAAAAAAAAGGAACGTAGAGCGAAGAATGTAAAAAAAAATCCAAATCAAAACCCACCAAATGTCTGCTGTCCAAGACAAGCCAAATGAGACAATAACCACATTGTGGCAGTGGAGAAGGGAGAGCACTCCTTGACATTCCAACTGCATGTAAAAGAAGCAAGGGGTGTAAGTAACACAACCAAAGCAAGAGGTTGCTTTTTGAAAAGCACATCAGCCAAAGGAAATAATTGCTGGGATCTATCTCAGCACTAAGTAACCCCTTGTGGGACGAAAATGTGAAAAAAACAGATGTGAATGAAGTTAAAGTTCCAGGTAGGCAACAGCACAAGTTTTTCTTTAAATAAAAAAAAAAGTTTCCAACTGTACATTTGAACATTTAACCTTTTACCTTTACTGGAGTGTGCCCAGTTTTTATTTACGGGTATTCTTACATTATGATGATATTAAGCACAGGCATGGAGTCACCTGGCAGACAAAGGCTGYAATTGTGCACAACAAAATACTACAACATCCCTTGAAGTTCCTACCACCCAAAACACTCAGGGAAGAGCTGGGATACAAGTTTTCCACTACAGTGCAGTTTGGGTTTGGCCAGMTACCAGGAGGATGAAGAAGAGCTTGTCTTGGCAGAGTTCCTCTGGGCAAGAAGCAAACCAGCTATGAAAGCAGTTTATAACCGAGGGCTCACGACAAGAAATCGAGTCAATCAAAGAGCATGTCTGGGAATAAGAATTCTCCTCTAAACAGTTATCATCACTGGAAAACAAGGATCAGTGGTTCCAAAGGCTGGCTGCAGGTGTTTGATCCCAGGCTGTGTGTAGTCAGCTGGCTCAGTGACTCACTTGGGTCACAGAGGACACATCCAGCCAAGTGTGATCCCCCAGCACAGATTGTAGAGAAAATTTATTCATTAGCTGAGACAACCTGTGAATTTATAACAGTGAACTCTGAAGGGCAGCATCTGCCCAGCACCAGGGTGGGATTGTTGGGGTGCCCTGAGCAGGACAAGGAGTTGGACCCTTCCAACTCAGGATATTCTATAAACCCCAGTTACTGCTCTGTGAAGTCTGCATCTCGCTCACTGCAGTCATTCTGACACAAATATTATTTATTTTCATAAAACTGCAACAGTTAATGCTCTAACAAAGGTGATGAAACAACTTCAGGTGATGGATATTCTATAAACCCCAGTCAGTGCCCTGTGAGCTCTGCATCTTGCTCACTGCAGTCATTCTGACACAAATATTATTTATTTTCATAAAACTGCAACAGTTAATGCTCTAACAAAGGTGATGGAACAACTTCAGGGGAGTTTGAATGTTATGACACATTTTTTAGCAGTCCTACACTGAGCTATTGGTTCCCTACTATTAAACCATACATCCTGTAATTCATCCTATGTTGATGAGAGTATTTATCTCCTAAAAACACAAAACAAGTCAAATATTGATCCTAGCTTGTGCAGAGAAAAACTGCCTCCGGTGAGGACAGCACTGTGATGGATTTAATGCTAAGAARCATGAATATTTCCTTATTTCCATCAAAACAGAGCATTTCCATGGACTGACTTCGAGAAGCACGTGAAGCAGCATTACATTAATCACACAATACAGGAGTTGCTGCAAATGAAAACGAAGCAATTTTTGGAGTGCACTGGAGACCCTGTTTTTCCTGGTCTCCAGTAGGTCTGGGAAACACAGTTCTGCTTTGTGCGGGAAAGATGTTGTCCAGGAAATGCTTTTCATGTTTTAAAAACTACACTCAAGGATTTTTATAACATCGATAAAAGCRAACTGCTGCTCACAGAGAAAGTTATTCGTCTCCACAAAGCATTTACTTCAATGAATCCGTGGTTTGTTGCRCAGGTCTGAACAAGTCAGAAATGGAAACGGTTTTGAAAGAGGAAAAATCACAAAGTTTGAACAGCAAAAGTATCTGCACATGGATAAAAACAGGAAGTCTGTGAACCTCCCTAACCCAGGATGATGTTTTATATGGTGTGATAATAACAGACATGATGCCACACCGGCTTGAAAGAGAAAAAAGTGAATAAATCCATGTATTTGTTATCTACCACCACAACAGCAAAGCTGGTTTGGGTGAGTGATCAGCAGATCCAGGGGCAACGAGGAAATTTTAGACAAAGAGTGYCTATGTTAAAGATCTGAATAAAGTCTAGGAAAGAGTTTCATTTTGAGTCCTTTGCTGCGGGCAGTTTTAGTGGTACCAAAACGCTGCCGTGCCTAAGTTTTAGGAAATCACAAAAGGCCTGGTTGGCAGACTGAGAGGAAAAATCAGAGAGCTCCACAAGGCTGATCCTTGTGGGATATATTCAGGGTCCCTCTTCCCATCCACAAATTAAAGGAATAGACTGGGATTTGAGATTTGAGCCAGTCCTAACCTGCAGGCTCAGCTTTGCTCCCTCCCCCCGGGTGTCACTGGATGCGTGTGAGCCAAGGGAAGGAAGTGACAAAGGCAGGAAAACCGAGCGGATCGAGGGAACGACTGGACAGAGCAGGGCCTGCACAGCCCAAACTCAGCACGCTGCCCCTCTGCACAGGCACAAATCCCCATTTTCAAGGCTGCCAAGGAGTGTCTGGAAGGGGATAAACCTCAGGGATTGTCACAGTTGTGTAGGGCTCGGATCTGCTCCAGGTGAGCCCCGGCTGAACCACGGGAGCTGCAGCAAACTCTGACATCAACCACCCCTTCAGGTCCTTCAGGTGGGTTATGAAACATCAGATTACAGAAAATCAGAGGGTGATGTACAGCCCGTTATCCCWTATTAATTAGATTATTTGATTGCAGTTGCCAAATGAATTGAGGTTTTTCCCATTATAAGGGACCTGCTTGCAGCTGTGCCATGATACACCCAATGCTATGGTGGAATGGTCCATGAAATTGTAATTTTTCGTTCTGCACTCACATGTTTACAAATACAGGTCTAACTGCCATTGGAAAACGCTTTCATGGAAATCCAACTTCTTACTTCTAAGCCATTTCAAGTTTATGAACCATATTTCTGGTTCTTTAGAGAAGGAACAGAGCAGACTGCCCTATTCCTCTCTTTGCAGCAGAGAATTCTAGCGATGGATTTGCACGAATTTGTTGTATTTACCAAATCAAAGCAGAGCAAAGAGACACTGAAGTAGTTGTAGGGCAACATTTGCAATGCTTTTTGAATTTAAAGTATATAAGGCAATTATGCATGCAGACTAAATGAAAGAGTCTTAGAAAGCTAAACTTGGTTGTAGGGAAGAAACATTAAAGTTGTAGCCCATGAAGCCATGAAACTCCACACTTAAAACAGCAGGAATTCCCTTGCAAAATATGCAAATATGTGTAAGTTCTGGTTTAGAGCAATTAAAAGTTTAAATCTAGCACCTCTCTTTAAGCTGAAAAAGGAATTAGGAAAAGCAAGACCCTACGACCACAAGTAGCTCTTTACAGAGGACATACAGTCCAAATCCAAATTAATTTGAAATAATCAATGAAATTCAGTCATGGCAACTCCTCATACCAACACTTTCCTCTGGAAAAGGAGTTCTTCCAACTCCTTTGCTTGTTTTTACATGTTGCTGTCTGTGCTAAGAATGGCAAACRAGAATTGAGAGCTCCATAAAGGAAAGTCTATTTTGACGGACTCCCAAGCTGCAATTAATACCAAAAATTTCCCCAATTAAGCTGGATCACAACAATTCTCGTCTCAAGAAAAGCCAACCTCTCCTGGAGGCTGAAAGAGACCCCAGAGCTGAGCTCGAACCGCTGATCCGCTGCCGGGCCGAGCTCAGCAAAACCACCGCACGTTTCCCGTAAACCGATTTTTTACCATTTTAACCAAATCGGTGAAAATCCCCCCTTTCCCCGCGGAGCTGCCGATGCCCGGGGGGTGCCCGCGGKGRRSAGCAGCAGCAGCAGCACCCGTGAGGCGATCCCGGAGCCCCGCACCGACCGCACCGGAGCCGCGGGGCCCAGGGGAACCAACCCCCGCTCCCCATCCCGGGAGGCCCGCCCGAGCCTCCGCCGCCCCCTCCGTCCCCGGCCCATCACGCGGCCCCGGGGTTTCTCCGCCGSTTCTCACCCATGTCTGCAGGCGGCGGCCCCGCTCGAGGCGGGCGCTGCGGGACGGCGCTGTCACCGCCGCGGCTCCATGGCGGCCGGGCCGAGGGGGAGGGCTCAGAGCCGCCACCACCGCCGCCGCCACATTCCCAGGCCCCGCGCCGCCGCCGCCGCCGCCTCCTCCTCCTGCCGGCGGCCGCGCTCCGGGAGCGGCGGGCGGGGGTGGGAGGGGCGCGGGCGCTGCCGGTGCGTCCCGGTCCCCCCGCTCCGTCCGGGCCGCTCCCGCCGCCGCCGCCGCCGCCCGCAAAACAAACCGCTCGGCGGCCGCCGCGCACACACCGCCTCCTGCCAATCACAGCGGGACCCGCCGCCCACAGCCAATCAGCGCCGCCGCAGAGCCCACCCGACCGCGCTGCCGGCCAATGGGAGCGCGAGCAGCCGCCCCGCCCGCCCCGCCTCCCCGCGGAGCCGGATGTCAATCACGGGGGCCCAGAGCGCTGCGGCGCGGCCACGCCCCCTCGGCCGGCAGGAGGCGGGGCATGGCAGRCCACGCCCACAATGCTGTCAATCAGAGTGATGGACAGCCGCGCGGCCCCGCCCATGGGCCGGGTCCCAAAGCGCTGGGGTCGTTCCCAGGAAGGAAAATTTAAATTTTGTCCGTCTGCCCGTGCTGTATCTGCGGTAAAGGAATCGATTCGTTGGGTTAGTAAGAAGAAATGTTCCCTTAAAATAAATTATAATTAAAAAATCATGCTGGGCTGTGTCTGATGCAACTGATGGGCAACTCTGTTCACGCACCACTGTGTGCTGCTGTGATCATCCAATCGAACCCAGGAATTCCRCTCAAGTCACTGAATCATGAATGGTTTGGGTTGGAAGAGACCTTAAAAATAATCTCATTCCACCCCCTGCCACAGGCTGTGTTTAAATCAGCTCSTACCTTTTAAAGAGATATCCAAAGCTGCTCTTTCCCAGCTTCTGCACCCATTCCACCTGCAGGATGGTGTTTTCACAGTGGCTTTTCACAAAAGGAGCAACAGAAGGGATTTGTTACTTTAAAAAGAAGCCCAGCCCTGATTCCTCTCTCATCCGACAGCATCATTGAACCATCCACTGACCTTGGAACCACTTTTGGACATGCTGTTTCTCAGCTTCATGAAGGGTCATCACTATCCTTTATCAGCCACGAAATTGCAGTTTACTTTCCTCACTAATTTAAAAAAAAAACCCACTCTTGGTATCCTTCACAAATTTTTCCTTGTCCATAAATTCACATCCTTGCACTCTCTGCTGCTCTATTTCACCTCATCTCTTATTTCTCACTCTTCACTCATCCWATCTCCAGGATACTCCAGTTCCCTCATTTTTGAAGCCTCCCACTTTTGGTGTTCATCACCAAATTAGATTTTAATGCTCRCTCTTGAGCCAAGATCATTTCTAARAGAGGGAAGAGCCCACCCCATGCYCTGGGAGGCAGAAATTTAGAATCAATTCCCCATCGCACCAGCTCTGATTTCAAACCTTTCCATCATCACCTCACCATTCGTTATTTTTGCCTCTCTTGCAGTTCCTATGTATTTGCACATAAAATTCTCAGTTGAAGTCCTGTTAAATGCAAGTGATTCCATGTTCTTTGTGTAGAAACTCGGTTTACTGAGTCCAAAAGATATTAGACCAGCAAGTGGCAGCTTGTGACAGGAGCCAGGAGCTCCTGGCAGATGGTAGGAGACACCCACCCTCGTGCAATTCTCTCTTCCCATCTCCAACTGCCCTGGGTGTCTGGATTTCACTGAAGCTTTTTTTTTTTTTTAATTTTTTCCCCCTTTACCAAATTGAAAATAGAATGATTTGTCCTTAACAGCTCATCRCTTCACCCACCTGTCAAGCCTAATGTGTAAATCAACAATTTTATCTCCTGATTTGTGGTTTCCCCATTTTACAGACGTTCTCACATCCCTATCTACRTGCAAGTGCCATCAGGACTTTTTTTGGACCACTACAGACCCTCACACCTTCCTATTTTCTGACAAGCTGGTAAATCCCTCCTGAAGTGGAATYCAAGTTTCTACCAAAACAAGGGCCCCTTTTTTGTGTAACTTGAGAAAAAAAAAGAAAGTAATTCCTTTCTGACTTTTACTGTGCACTTAATACTRTACTGGTTTGTGCATAATCACAGAATCCCAGAATGGTTTGGGTTGGGTTAAAGATCACCCAGTGCCACTCCTTGCCACAGGCAGGGACATTTTCCACTGTCCCAGGGTGCTCCAAACCCCATCCAACCTGGCCTTGGGCACTTCCAAAGATGGGACAGCCACTGATTCTCTGCAAAGCTGTGCCTCATTTCTCTCACAGGGAGGAATTTCTTCCCAATATCCCCTCTAATCCTTCCCCCCATCAGTCTGACCCCAGTTCTCCTTGTCCTGCCATCACAGTTCCTGATGGGGATCAGGTTATTTGTTTTACACCAGCTGATATTCTGTGGTTTGCCACTGGGATTTCCCACATCCTTCCCAAGCTGCAGCTTTCCAGCAGAGAAACTTCACTCCTGTAAACAACAACTGCASAACATACTTAATTCTTGAATTTATTCAGATTGTCTGCGGCCATTTAATGTAAAATCATCAGTAAAGATATTCATGGAGACTCTCAAGGAGATCCCACGTTTCCAGTCAGCCCATTTTTTAAAAGTAACTTTATAAGGCCTACTTGTTTAATGCTGTCATGTGGCATCAACCTAGAAAAGGAAGTGTAATCCCTATTTTAGGGACTTAAGGACACTGCACAGAGAGACAGTGACTTGTTAAAACTTACACAGGAAGTCTGGAGTAGACCTTTGGGATTTAACTCCTGGCATCTTTTCCTAATGCCTTAATCACTATGCCATCATCTTGTTTYCTATTTCAGTAGTATTTCCATTTTCTGATGCATACCTGACTCAAAGAGTCTCTTTTCCTTGCTATCAGATGTGCTATTTCTTCTTTCCTTCCTGTTTCCCTTCTTGTTTAGGTAGACACATCCTTCCTGGGGAGGTGAGCAGGCTCCAGGCTGAGCCTTGTCCCATGCCAAAACTTCCTTATTCTACATCTTGGGCTCCACAGCCACAGAAAGGGGGTAGGAGGAGAAATCCTGTGAGATAAATCAGAGAATGCTTGAATGGTTTGGGCTGCAAGGACCTAAAACCCATCCAGTCTCACACTTTCCATTATCCCGGGTTTCTCCTGGGATAAACTCCTGTAAAACACACCCTGGACACTTCCAGGAATGGAGTATCCAATCTTCAAAGGATGCATGAAAGGCTTCTGCAGATATAAGAGTAATTTCACTAATTCCAGGCAGTTCTGTCTCTCCTAACAATTCCTTGTCGCRTTCTCAGGTTTGAAAACGAAGTGAACGGAAAACTCTAATTATCCAACTCTAGGATGATATGGCAGGATAAATACAGACCCAAACTTACCTCTCCTCCAGCAGAAGACTGGAATCACGTGAAACTCCTGTAAAACACGCCTGGAACAGCTTTTTTCAGCCGGGAGGAGCAGGTGAGCACCTTTACCTGTCCTGATCCCATCACCAGCCCTGGCTGCAGACAGCATTCCAGCAGAGGGGGCTCTGAAGCTGGTTAAAAACCACGAGATGTTCTGCCTTSGGAATGGCAAAATTAGAGAAGGAAGGGGAGGAAGAACGTTAAAAATATGATATGCTTTTAGAGCACTGCTTCCTCTGAGCTGGCAGTCTGGACTGTTTCTAAAATGAAAAAGCTCAAAATTAAGCGCTTCTTCCATCACGGGCCAGAGACCACTCAATCATCACAATCTCAGAGACCAATTTTTCTGTGCACCTATTGCTGWGTGTTGTGTTACCATGGAGGATTTTCTTTAATTTTCAAGTATTTTTGAGCCATTTACTGATGAGTGATTAATTAAGTGCTTTTCATTTACAGCTTGTATCAGAGAGGGGATTTTGGCGAGGTCACGGAGCTGAACCAGATGTTGGCTGTTCTTTAATATTTACAAAAGGGAGAACCTCACATCTTTTTTTTTTCTACCTACATTCCTCTACATCACTTTATTGTGCTTGTTTTGTCACACAAACTTTGTCTATCATCTACCAGTCCACTCTTTTCATACCAGCAGTTCTAATTTGCACAAGCTGCCTCCTTCCACCATAGTAGAAGCTGARAAAGTTTCTCTGGAGTATTCCAAAGCACAAATCTGGGGGAAAAAAATAATCTATGAGGATGCAAATGCATTTCTAGGGTAAAAGACAAACAATTCTTAGAAAAAAAGATATTTTCTGAGTAGGGGTTACTAGTACAAAGTCCATATATAGCTTAAAAACCACTGCAGCATCTTTGCAGGCAACTCTTTCCACTGTGGTCATGAAACTTAATAAGCTTTTATTTCAAAGCCAGTACACAAAGAATTAGAGAGAAATCCAACCGTTTAGTTGAACTAGAGTAAATCTAAATACTTAATGAAGTCATCAGTCCTGCTTGCCAAGGCCTAAGGTACACATTTCCAAGCTTGGCCACCCTATTCCCCTCTTGCTCCCAGTTCCAGTCACGACAGCAGTGTGGAAAATACACATTTTAAGAGAKGTCAGGAGAGATTTAAGCTACAGAAGCACCCAATTGCCTTGTCCTCACTTTGTCTGCATTCAAACCCCCTCAGAGACTAATTATTTGAATTCTAAAAAAAATTCCTCTTCCCATCATCTTAAAAACAAAAGCACGCAGCAGATAATTCCCATTTGTTGTTGTAGGGAACATGCAAAGGGTTGGAAAACATGAGCAGAAACAACGCTGGAACACAGGACCCTGCAGCAGGTTTTTAAGAAAGYAAATATTTCATGTACAGCTGCATTAACCATTCTGATGGAGTTCTGTTGGGACTGGGTTCCGAATGTAATTATTTGGGGAAACTTGCAACTTAAAGAGTTGCTGGAATTATCAAGTTTGTTTGGATATTTGCAGGATGAGGGATCAATACACTTTTCACCAGCTTTGCAGAGACAAGGCAAAGCAATCACCCTCCTCTTACAGCAGCAAACTCCACGCAGAAGAAATTAAATTAATTTGTAGTTCCCTGCTCCCCCCACCACAGGTTTTCACTCATCACACAGTGAACTGCAGTCGATCTACAAATGTTCCATTTTTATTACAAAGTATGAAAGGCAGAAAATACTGTACCTAATACACAGGAGGCCGAAACTTAGAAAGAAGGTTAAAAAATCTGAATAAAACTACATAGGAAGCAGGAAATAGCATAAAAGGATGCAACATTCCACTTTCAAGCGTGTTCAGAAAATTGCCGTAGAATTTACAGAGTTTCAATGATACGGTTCCATGACTCAGGTGTTAAAATCCATTGTAACAAACCCTTTTATATTTTCTCCATAAAAATAAAGGAATATAGGGACACTGCAGTTATCCATGTCAACAACATATGTCTGTTGAATAGCAGGATACTGGGATTCCTCTAGGACAGAATAGTAGCGAAGTTGCAGGTGAAGAAAAAGACAGAAGTAAAATTACTATTGCTTTAACATAGTTTAGGAGAGAACAAGAAGTCAGGAATCTCATATGGATGTTTGTACAATCATGCTACAAAGATTACACCTTCAGAAAATTACCACAAAGGGACTGTGAATGGGAAGAGMAGAAGGGAAAACACCTAAAAGTAACATCTCCTACTTGGCTACTTGTAACAAAAATGCTTCGGCGCAATGGATTTAAATTACATTTTACACTGCTAGCAACCCAAGAATTAAAAAAAGGTTCTTTTTAAATAGTAGATTTCATAATTCGTATTTCCCAAGTTGTCAAAAAAAGCAACATACTTTTTTTCCAGCTGTACTGGGACTCTGTCCTGCTGTGGTTCTTGCCTTTCTGCCTTGCTCAGACCCCACAGACCCACCCTCAGCACTAAAAAGGGACTGGAGTTGCACATGGAAAGCAAACTCCAAGGGATGAGAGCTGGACCGTGGGTTTACAGCTACACATTTTGTCAGGGAATAGCTTTTTTCCTTCATTTTGTTAGATTTCCTGAAAAAAAAAGAGCAAACTTTATGGAAACCACACAGATAATTTTACTTATTTTTAAGAMCATGGAAATTCTTGATTGATGCTGAGTATCAGAGGCTGCACAAAAGGCCCTGAGGTCCATGGCAGACACAGTTGCCACATGAAAAAGGCAGCAGCCATCCTCACAAGTGCCTTTGCCTCTGATGTCTGCCATGAATCACCAGATGAGCCTTCAATGACTGGCATTTAGTTGCATTTTTAATTACTGTTCTTTTTAACACTGGTGAAAGGTGCTGATTGGAAGTTCTGGAGATCTTTTGCTGAAAAAAAAACCCGAGTCAGAGGCATTGCTAAACTCTCCTCAATACCCTCAAGAATGAAACATTTCTGACTCTTCTTGGGTAAGCAAKGGGAAGTACAGCTGCATCAGAAAGTGCTCTTTAAGTGCCACATACAATTAATTCCCTGGATTCTCTGCAAAGATCAAGAGAAAYTGGGACAGAGTTGACAGTACCTTGCTCAGTGCTTTCCATGTCCAGAACAGACTTGTTCTGGAATATTGGTCTGAGAGCAGAAAGCAGGAAATGCTGTTAGAGAGAAYTTGTGTTCCCTGACAGGATAACACAATGTGAATTTGGGGTGGTGGGACCACTTTGCCACGAGCAGTGGGAAAACTCAGCCCTTCAGTACTTTGATGGGACTGAAACTGTGCAATCTGCTGAGCCCAATGCTGCTGTGCATCCTTTCCAGAGTGTCTGGAAAGAGTTGAAACACCACTGGCCAGTTCCATGTTTTAGGCTGTGTGAATTTACAGGCAGCAGTTGCAGTTTTTCTCACACAAAATTAAATTGTTCAAAGAATCCAGGCACATCCCTACACAAGCAAACCAGCATTGCCACCACCATGTTCTGATGGTAAAAAAGAGGATTCCCAAACACGGCTGAATTCCTGAAAAAAAGGATAGTGGGGGACACACAGCACTACATCCCTTGGGTTGATGTTACAGGACAGTGTCACTTTCAGAACAYGAAGCTTCATTTTAACATTTACAATCTTGTCAAGTGCTCATGTTTTTGGCTTTCAGKAGAAACAAGTGAGGGTCCTCTAGGATGACCCCAGTTTAGGATTTTGGTGATGGTGGTATCGAACATCTTCTACACAACATGGACAAACGCCTACCTTACAAGGGCTGAGGAAAAGATGACTCTCCTCCTAATCTTACCAAAAATATACTCRTTAAAGTGCCATCTGCAAGAGAACAAAACTGACACACTCAGCTCTTCATTTACATTGACAACAAGCACGAGAACATCTGTGAATTCCGTACATCGGACTCCTCCCCTCACCTGGTCTCTGGCAGGCTGTGATCTACACTTGAGATTGAAGCAGCTTCTCATTGCACCACCAGGCAAAAATAGAGCTTTCTACTATTATCCAGAACATTCAGGAGAGTAATTACAGCTAAGTTTTGAAAGGATCATTAACTTTGACTTATGAGAGGCAATGCCTCCCCCGTTAAATACATTTCAAGGTTCCATAAGGAACAACCTGTTTTATCAGTCTCCTTTCATATCATTTGAAGCCACTGTGTCTTCTTCCTAAATAGATTGTCAAAGCACTCAAATCCTTGCCTTTCAAATCCCTGCACACACAAGTACAATTCCCATAGATGCAAGCTACCATAGCCCCCCTCATTTAGACAATTCACAGAGTTGGCACACTACACACTAATTCAACAATTCAACTTGTTTGCTGCAGGTTTTTCACCTCACTAACRAGTTTTACATCATCAATATCTAATGGTTGAGAGCCAGCAGGTTGGCCACACAATAGTAGAAATCTGTATAAAGTTTGGTTTAAAGAGAATACAACAACCAAATGATAGTTTGTTATCTTGAATTAATCAACTGATTTTTGAGAAGTGACACAGAACTAAAGTCAGAAGTATTTCTGTCCCAGAATCAGGCTGGCCTGTACCAACAACAGCAAGTGCTTTTCTGCTTTGCTCACCTTACCTGTGTTCACTTTTCCCTTACTGTTATTTTCTACTCAAAAAACATGAGGTATTTGCAAGCAGTTGTTCTGCATCCTCTGCTTGTGCAGTAAGCACCAAATAACAGGAATGAAACATTGAAGTATTTATTTTCACGAACTTTGGGGAAAAATAATGCTTATGGGGGCTTTATACCYGACATAATTGAATGTCAAGAAGGTKATAAACTGTTTTTCAATTTACAGGCTCCAGTGATAAGTGTCAGGATTTGTTTTATCTTGCAGATGAACCTGACTCACCAACCAGAGCCTTCCCTCCCTGTCACGGGGTCAGCAACTGCTGGCAAAAGGGCACCAAAGTATTTCMCTTCCTTGTCTATATGGAAGAGCCATTTGCACTACAGAACATTTCACCCATGAGGATTTTCCCATCTTTTCACTCATTAACCTTTCAAGTGACTTCTTTGAAGTTATTTCAAGTATCATTTCCCAGTGCCAAAACAGTCTCTAGTGATTTAAAATGCAATTTCATATGAAGACTGGCAATGGATTATGCCCAAAGCAATATGCTGTAGATCCAGAAGGTATCCCAACTGGCTAAACAAACAGGATACAGGCTTTTTTTAGAATCCACTGGAGCCTCCAAGATTCCTTCACTTGCCTTTGATGCGTTTGGAATAAGCACCCAATTCTACAAATAAACTTAAAGCAGTTTTATGGATGGAAGAACTGACACTGGATCCTCTTCAGGTCCCTAACAGGATTGTTTTCCAACAGAAGCAGAATTTACCTGGCCATTCAGACTATGAGTCCTTTCCACAAGCTTTCTTCTTATCATCTTAGTGGAACACATGATATTCCTCTAGGAATAAACTGTCTTTGCCATTTAGTGAAGTCTGTGGAGTCTTTTGGTAACTTCACTTTCAACTAAATTATCTTATGTCTGTTTTGAAGCACAATACAATTATAAAAGATGCATTTTTCATCTAAGCAAGAGAAACATTCATCTTTGACTCGTGCCATCTATACAGGAATAAACTTTGAAGCAAAAAAGGGGACATGGAAAGTATTAACATTGCAGGTAGTTTCCTCTTGGTAACACACCACATTTTGCCTACTGTTTTAAATTAAACAGTGCATGATGAGCCTGTGAATGTATTTTAGATTACTCCTAAAGCTATGAATGCCATTAACTGCTCCTGCTAAGAAAACCCAATTTTCACTTCATTCTGCAGAAGTTTTTTTCCAGTTTCAGATGAAGTGCTGTTGTAAAAACTGRTAGCTAATTGTTTGGCTAACACTGCGCTGGCATCTAGCTAAAATGGAACACACTACTCTCAGTACTGCTGCTAAGAAGAAAAATTGACCTTCAAGTCAAATTGAGCTTTGTCAGAAATCCCACTACTGAACAGTGTCATTGACAAAACATCAGCTTGAACTGTGTTAGAGTCTCTTGGTTCTCTGCTATCAAAAGGAGTAACAGAATAAAACTGTCCCTAATGAATTCCTATCAAATTCCTGAGGCAATGCTTTTCTGAGCTCCACAGTGAGAAGCAGCCTGCAGAAGAGTATTTCCCTACGTCCAGAATGACAAAACTTTGCAGATTCTGTTCCATATTTGACAGTGTCAGCTTCACTGTTCCACAGCAATTGCTTTCCCAACTTGCCTTTCCTGCATAAACTGACAAGATCCAAGTTTGCCAGTGTCCTACTATTTATAAACTACCTCCAGTTGCAGGTGAATACTCATCAGGTGGAAAGAATTTTGATGGTTTCTGACATTTACATGGAAACTGGGCTGCACACCCTTCCAGACCAGCTCTGGCTGTCATGTCTTCATCGGAGAGCACTGCAGAGCCTTGGCACAGGACCTGTGCTACAGTAAGACTTCAACAAAGATTTTTATCTTGCCTAATCCACTCAGCTTTCATTGAGCAGTGTTACTGTAGAGTGATCCACTACTCCAAACAGAAGCCCTGTGGCACATCCCTCAAAGTCAGGAGGATGACAAGTGCCAAACCTTGGCCTCAATGGCACAGCTTCTTTCCTTCTAAATCCACYTCTGTGCATCACATTAAGGAATAAATTCTTCCAGAGAAATGTCTTCTTTTGGATAGCAGACTAGCTTTTCTGACTTGTCTCGTTCATTGCACAAGACCTGGCAGTACAAAGCAAATACACTTCACAAAAAGATTGCTTTGCACTCCCTTCAAGACCTCCCAGGAATACAGGCTAAACACAAATAAACYTCAAAGTACAGCCTAACCACAAAATCTTGCTCATATTATTTGCCAATCAAGCAAGCTACAAACTGTGAAACCATTTTATTTTGGTTTAGATAAGGTAAGTCTTCTGAGGGGAAATAATTTGATTGGAAGTATCAATCCCAAGTCCATTACAAATACAYTTTTTCTGAAGTTGTTTATCTCCTGGGAATTCACATCATGCATGGATCTTCTTTCTCAACCTTTCACCGCTCTGTTTGCTAACACAACTGCAGGATACACACAAATTCAGTTAGAATTTAAAAATAAGACCTACCATAGTAACAACTGCCTTGAGCATCAGAAAAAATGTGTAAAGAAATTGTGCAACAAGTACTTGTACTTCACAGCACCAGAGAATTCTGCCCAGGTCACCAGATACAGGGAGCCAAGGCAACAGTTAATTCTGGCAGGCCTTTACTGCCAGGGAGCCTGCAGTGTTACTGTGGTTTGTATCCATGAACAGGTCCTGCTTTGGACAAATGGAAGTGGATCACATATCAAAAGTAAGAATCAGGGAGAAAAAACCTTACTCAATAGAAAGTTAGCCCAATATATAAAAAACATACAAACGTTTAAACAGTTCAGAGGCAGCAACAACAGGAATGATAAAGATTCCTGCCAAGGTGGCTGTTAACATCATTGTCTTTTCCCCCCACCTTATTTTGCACCTGCATCTATTAAACTGGTTGATGTGCTGCCTCAGCTGGCTGACAAACACATGGACATATGCAGCAACTTAAAAGCCTGCAAGCTTATTAATACAGTCAACAAACAAATATACAGAACTTTTACTGAGGGAAAAAGAATTCAACAAGAAAACCAGAACCCAGAAGGTCCAAGAGGCTCAGCACGTCTCTGCATTTTAGAGTCTTGAGAGACAGGGGACACCTGCCACCGATTCTTGTAACAGTTTCTTGTAACAGTAGATGCAAAGCAACAACAGATACTGGCCACTTGACTGGTGGTGTTCTTACTTTAGAGGGGAGGGGGAATGACACAGCCCTGCTTCACTGTGCATGAAGCAGCAGAGTTAGACTCTGAGGATCTCCAGGCAGTTGTTGTAGCAGATGGCTATCCAGTCTGGCTGCGTGGATGCCCACTGTACATTGTTGATCTCTCCCTCGGCTGTGTAGGCCAGGATTGGGTCCTCAATGGCACGAGGCATTTGCTGGATGTCCCAGATGAGAGCCTGGTGATCATCAGCTGCAGAGACAGGAAATGCAAGTACAGTCAGAGTGTGACAACATATCCATATGTGCCTACTAACAGCCCCACAGCCTAAGATATGGCTGTTCTTGTACTGATCCAGTTCAAGCCAGATACAACAACACAATCACTCTAACAAAATAAACTTGGATCATTATACATTACCCAGGACACAGCTAGTAAACAAATAATCAATGGAATTCATAACAATTGAAAACATTTCAGAACTGGATTGCAAAAAAGCTAAGGGGCATTAAAATAATACAGCTTAGCCAGAGCTGATGCACAATAAACTCTAGTAGGTGTCTATTTCCATAAAAATTCTAGGAAAGTCACTAAAAAAGAACTTCTAAACTCTTTAGCAAAAGACAGGCAGAGAACTGCATAAACTTTAGGATGAAGATGATTTTGCAAATGCAGTGAAAGACTCTGAGATTCCCCTGTAGGTTACACTTACCTGCTGTACAGATGTGGCAGGAGGAGTGAGGTGCCCAGGCAATTCCATTTACACACGCTCTGTGGTTGTTTAACCTGGCAACAGGGGTGCAGGGAACTCTGACATCTAGAATCACAACCTTCAGGAGAAAACAGCTACATTAATAAACTGCATTTTAAAAAATTCGTTTCTTCAAAATACGAAATATTTTTGAGGTAAGGCTATAAATTCAGCTCTTTCCTAAAGGATGTGGTTGGCAAGCAAGCCTTGTTCCTAAAGAACAGCTTCCAGTTGGTCAGTGTATCATGTCTCAAAAGAGCTCAGACTTCCACAGGGATTGGGAATTAGGCCACAGTGGCAAACAGTGCTGAAACAGCCCAGGTTACAAATTAAAACTGAACTGGGAAAGAACAAGGTGACTAAAACATCTGCAGTTAAGATTTTATGTGAAAATTATAGCCCAGCTGCTCACATACTCCTCTTTAAAAATCAGCTGAAATTGAGCCATAAAGCTCAAGTTTATAATGCCAAAGTCACTTTTTTAACTCCTCAGTGCACTAAGAACTGGTCCTTAATCAYACCCCAGGTGCTGACATTGACCCTTACACCATAAATACCTGTCTGTAAATTAGTTTCAAGCCACATCCCCCAGAAAATCACCACTAGCACCCAGGTGGAGATGAGCTGMTGCTTTACCTCCATCCCATCCATGGCCATGGTAGCAAGATAATTGGGATCCTGTTTATTCCAGCAGAGCCGCAGCAGTGGGTGGTGCTGTGGGTCCTCATAGATGATGGTGCTGTGCTCCAGGTGACGGAGGTCAAACATCCTCACAGATCCATCAGCACCCACCGAGGCAAACATGTCCCTGCCCCCGCCTGCACGRCTGAAGGCGATGTCGTAAACCTGCACAAAGCACAGCCTCAGCTCACACCCCCGGGGAGTGCAGCTCAGGTAGAGATAACACATTTAATTGTGACACAGTCTCTCAAATACTTGATGTTTCTTGCAACTGTTTAGGTATTACGCTTGTCAAAATGAAGAAAAATATGTTTAGGTAATTATAGTATCACTCAYTGAAATCAGAATGCACCCACTTCCCAGACTCGGGGTTTTTTAAATTAGTTGTTGAAAAGTGAAATGTTAAAATGAAAGAATTTTCCAAGCTTTTTATTGCCTTCAATATGAAGTTGACTTCAAGTCTAATTTTTTTACCTTATGTTTTTACCTTATTTTTCTACAATATTCTGGAGTGCAATCTGGTAAAACAAGCATTTTTTTTAAGTCCAGAGTCTATGATGAGTAAAAAGAAGTRTTTCAATAATAGCCAACAGTATTTAGGTACTCAAAACTGTACATAATTTTAGAAAATCTGCATACAAACTTACATAAATGATCTTTTTGAATCATCAGATTGTTCAAGAAAAAAAGGAGGAAAATGGAAAAGTTCTGTTCCTTTTCTACTGCTTTAAAAAGATGCAATGCAAACAATCAAAAAACCCCATCACCTCTTTGTCATGTGCAATAAGCTGGGTCTTCACGTGGCCAGACACCAAATTTACTCTTCCCAGAACCTGTCCTGTCTCCAGACCCCAAATAGTGCAGGTTGTGTCAATACTAGAGGTACCTGAAACAAAATCACTTCTATTAGCAAAATTAATATTGTCACAAATGATTTAATCACTTCCTGGATTAATGTAACATCCCCCAACATCTACAGATCAAAATAGCCTYGAGAACAGCACAGAATTAAAATCAAGAATGTCAAACAGCCAGCAGTCTTCCACGCATTTAAATGACCCAAACCTTTCAGCTGCAGAAATAGCCTTCCACACAGGAATAAAGTGTAAATAGCTCATGTCTGCTTCAATCTATTCAGGAGCCTGATGCAACTCTGAGATCAACTTTCCCATCCTGTGTGTCTCTTGTGCATGCCAAACCCCAAATTCAATCCGTGTTGTGATGGCGTGTTATTATTAATTGATTGTTGCTGCGGATTGAAGGTGGGGTTAGCGGTAAAGCTCTTAAGAGATGAGAGACGCAACGCACAAAAAATAAATCATGTAGTAAATAATTACTAAGACATATTATCACTGTTAATCTCTGGGCAAATCCCCCTGACATAAATGGCTGTTCTCTTCTGGGAAACAAACCTCTGGATCAGTCATCTTGGATTCACAATTTGTCCGTAGGCAATAATTAAACCTTAAGCGTTCAGACCCCTCCTCCAACTGAATTAAAGTCTCCTGACTCTCCTCCTGCTGCTGAAATGGCTTCACAAAACACACAGCTCAGTGCACAGTTTTATATCCACTCCAGAACACACTGAAATAAGTCACAGTGCTGATGCACATCCTTACTCAGCACTAAAACAACAGCTCACTGGCCCTGAAAGCCAAGACTCGCTATCTCCAAATGTCCCCAGTCCAACCTGAGTGACCCATTCTGTAATGGACAGGGCATCTTCCAATTGAAAAAAGTTTCCATGAGATSATTATTTTTATTTTTTAATGTAAGACAATGGCAGTTTCTATGATGCATTTCTGTTAACCATTTCTGTGGTTAATTATCAGATTAACCAGTGGGCATGCAGTGACACAGCAGCAGTTGCAGCCCAGACTTCAGACTAAATTCAGAAGTGTGCCAAAACCATTACATTTTGTCAGTCTCACCTAATAAGTAMGGATCCACTTCATTCCAATCAAACGATGTCAGTGGAGCACAGAAATCTGAGTTYTTGTTGTTGTTCAGCAAACACTCCAGCCGGGTCTCAGTTTCACCCACCTTTAGAGAAAAGGAAACATCTGACTTAAAAAACAACATCACCTGACTTGTTCCACCAGCACAAAACATTAGGAGTTAATGCCAGGTTTCTTTCCTCTCAGCTTTACATCCTAAAGCTCTGGAAAACACAACCACCAGCTCATTTTCAATAAGTTGACTAAGAATTACCCTGATAATTCTGTTTCTCCTATAGCCGTCATATAGTCACATTACTGCAGTGAAGAAAATCTTGTCTTGAGTGAAAATGAGATCAATATGTACCACAATTCATGTTGTGGTTCATCTTTTCCTAGGGAGGATTTACTCACTCTCCACACTCGCAGGTAGTCCCCACTGGTGGCCAACAGGTCTGGGTAGACTCCCTTGGTGTCTGGGATCCACATCAGCTTTGTGGTGGGGTAGGGGTGATCAAAGGTGTTCCTGCAAATGAATTCTGAGCTCTCTTCATCCAAACCAACAAGCTGCACCTGTGAGAACCAKATTTAAAAGAAAGCATTTTATCAAAATATTAATAATAATAATAATTTCTAATGATAGCATTAAGCCTGAGTTTGTTTCAGGACATCWTCTGTCATCTCAAACACAATATAAAAGGACCATCGTGTCAATGAAATGAGAAACTATTAAAGTGTTGCTGGGGCATGTAAGTAAAGTGAAGAATCCATAATCACCACAGCGCTTTGATTTGAAGAGATGACCCCAAATGAACTGAAATCCAATCCTAAAGGATTAAAGACCACCCTTCTCTTTTCCACATGGCAAAGCCCAGTTTAAATCACAGACTTAAACTGCACAAATRTTATTCTAACTCATCCTTAACTGAACTGATGCTAACAATGTCATCTCCAGAGACCAAAATTAAAGTGCATATTTTGGAATTCTTTGCCATAACCCTGCAGACTGTGATGGATCATGTCAGGTAGCTGGCAAGCTTTTTCAGCACCACATGACCCAAAATGTTCTGTCACAAGTGCATGAAATAATGACTCATAGATTAATCACATCAGAGAGAAAGAAAGTAAAACAGAATTCAAACTTTAAAAAACATATTGGGAAGCTAAAATGTTTACATTATTCAAATGTTTTGTGTGAACAGTCCAAGAAAGCAGGTCTGCTGAAAGATTCTAGGTAACCGAGTTCCAAATTAGTATTTTTGCACAGTGATGTGTCAGGGGGAAGGGCAAAAYTTGCCCCGTTGTGAAAGTGATGCAAAACAGAGCAAACAAGAAACTATCTCCACACAGCCTGGYCATGACAAGACCTGAAGTAATGCTTGAAGTCCCAGACATGATGTTATTAGAAAAATATTGACATGTCAGAAAGTGTTCAGAGAACAAAAGGTGCTGGGAGGACTTGTTTAAGCTGCAGTGACTACAGGACCCAAACAGGATGAAAGTCCCACTGTGTGAAATGCTGCACAAACACAAACATTATGGGGACGACTCACTACAATTAGTTTGTAAGCTGCTCACAGTAGGAACTTCCTAGTACTTTCCACACAGCAGCTTCCTCCTGGGAACAGTGGCTTAATGGGCTTTTTCTAAGATGTTTATCTGGAAAAATCCTAAATATCCTGGGATATGCAATTTGTCTAATAAACTACATATTTCARCTAGATGGTAAATCTATCATATTTTCCCCCCATAACAGAAAATCAAAGAATGCTTCAGTGGATCTTAAAATTTAATTAATTTGCAGTTTTATGGGTTCATTTAGAGATACTCTTAAATGCAAACCTTGTCACCCACAATAAGAAGCTCCATCCTTTCCACCCCAGAACAAACACTAAAAGATGCAGCAAAGTATGCTTCCAAAAACTGAAACAGAGACTGCCTTGCCCTCTCTTTATTAAAAGTACTCCTTATTATCCTTCACACTCCAGTATAAATCAGTCAAAAATCTCCCAGTCTTCTGAAGTGATTGACAAATAGCTTTCTAACTCCTTTAGGGATCAGAAATACTAAGCGGATTCTACAAAGGAAGCAAATTGTCCTTGGTGATAGAAAATCTTGTGGCAAGGTCAGGATCAGAAGACAAATGACCTCTAATCATTTCTCCTTTGCTTATGCTGTTTTCAGCTCCACACAAGTGTATTAATCCTACACAAAGCAATCAACATCCTCATCATCACAAGCAAATTTCAAACAGCAAAGGACCTCCTTTCACTGGTGTTAATGTTAATATTCCTGCACTGGAAATTCACGTTTAACGCGCTGCTCTGCCTGGAGAWGGTGCAGGAGCAATGCTTGAAGAGCTCTATTCTTTCCAAGCTCAGCATATTCAAATTTGTGACTCTACACTTYGGACTCGATCACACACAGTCATTACAGAACACCTCTACTCATCCTCTTGTGTAGGCTGAACACGAGGGAATGGACATGAATTATTTCCAGGATATCAATTAAATTAGAGSTGTGTCTCTCCTGCAAGTGAGGCAAAAATGCTGCTGCATGAAGGAGTGCCTGAGGTCCAGCCCAGATAAAACTGAGATGATGCCTATTGGAAAGTACCTGTCAGYCTGGATATAATTTGAACCATTCTGCATCTTCCTGTAAGTCTTTCCAGTGAGAAAACGAGGATCAGTGCATTCAATCTCAACTAAGTTTGTGATTATGTCATAACAGTAGCTAGGAATGCTAAATATTTATTTGTTTCTCCAACATTTCAAGATAGGAAAATCCACATCTAATTTTGGCATATTATAATCCAAGCACTTATCAACATAAAKCTTAATTGCAACAGTGCATGCCAGTAAAGAAGTTCCTTTAATCATTCCTTRAGTTCTAAAAAAATCCCGTCTCCAACATGATCTAAAAGAATCGGACACAGAACTAAACGATGCAGAATTTGCTAACAGATTCTTTTTCTTACATGGTTTGAAGAAAACAGTGAAGTAAATTCACAGTAGTTTAAAATCCCCCCAAACTACAAGCCTTTAATCTAATTAGYAACTACCCAAAATGACATTTCACAATTATTTTAGGGTCATGTACAATCAGAAAGATGTCACTGCACCAATTAATCTTCAGCGTGCAATCAATTTTTCTTTGCAGTGCTAAATCTTACAGAACAAATGACCTTCTGGCAAAACAACAGCCCTGAACGCTCTCTGTCTGAGGCATTGCTTTGGAGGAACTGGAAATCTGGAAGCACCTGGTCAGAACCTGTCTGTCCACTCCAGTGACGGGAGAGAGCTGTGTATGGCTCAACCTCTACTGCCTCCTAAACTGGATTCCAGTTTTGTCTTGCAGACAGATCCCAAAAATCTGCCTTTCCTGGTGTTTTCCACAGATTGCTCCTGATCCATGAWGCCACAGCTAGGAGCACGTGGAGCATTTTATACAGTAAGATCTACAAACAGTGTTCCCTTCCATCATGACACTGATAAATGAGGGATTACAAATGCTGACCACAGCTTCCTATACAAGAAGTTCAGGAAACACCACCTCAAATCATTTAATTCTTCCAACCAGAGGAAGGCATCTCTCTTCTTGTAGCAGTGATTTGGTCAGTGAAGGTGWAYAAGCTGAAACAAAACTTCTYTGAGGTTCAAASAGGTCTTGGCAATCAGCTTCAGTCWGTGCCAYAGACMCCATCAATGTGACAGCTGACAGGGTTAGAGGTGTCTGGGAATTGGGGATTACAGTAAATCTGGGTTTGGCAGCCAAGAGGTTTGAGTTCCCCACCAAAGAGAAGTGCAAACAGCCTGCTCATGTAACCTGTAGYACTTCAAATGCTAGTAGTTTCTACAGAAACAGAAAATCAGAGACTAACGAGACAAAAATCTGCCACTCATTTTCCATAATTCCCTCACAGTGAGCACTTCCACAGCAAACACTTGGGCATTAAGCCTTTTTAAAAGAAATCCTAAATGAATAATAAGGAAAAAGTATATTCACCTATTTGGTTGGACTTCAAGCAAGCTACACTATTCCAGACTATTTTGGTTACTATGGAAGAAAGCCAGTTATTTGTAACAAACTATTGCAATATCAGGAACAGAAATGTTACTGGGAACTTCTCAGAAACCTCTGAAGAGGTGARTGCAAAGAGAAAGCCAAAATGAAAATCAGTTTTCATTATCCTTTTAATTACTGTACCTATACATGTGTTTTGATTTCAGAAGCTGCAATATAAAACATCTCAACCATGAAGGGCAAATTATATGCAGAAGGACAAAACTTCACACAGTACTCTGTAAAAAATCTTACGTTTTGTCAACTCCAGAATCAGGCTACAAACCCCACATTTGCAGCACAATGTCATGAACTATTTAAACAGGAGTTTCTGGTTTTTTATCTTTGTTCCAGGAGCTGGAAGAGTCTACAAGAAGTGTGTAGGTGGCACAGTTTTACAGTAYCCATCCAAGAGTTTCCAATCTGGAGCATGAAACTATTCCCTGAATGTTTCACCACCCTCCAAAGGGCCCAGCACAGCTGAGAGAGTCATAATAAGGCACCATAAAAACAGTGCAGATGAAACACCACTCCCAAGAGTATTCCAGTCCCCAAAGTCAAGGAGACAACATCAATACTCTGARCAATAACAACATTTGCAATTAGCCAAGACAGCTCCATGTTAACTGTCTTCCTACAAAAAGCACCAAACAAGAAAACTAAAATATATAAAACTCACTCTGAAATATCAGAGACACAGCAAATGAAGGTTATATTTTACTGCATTAATTGCACAGGTTTAATTTTTAGTCATAGATAATCTTTACTTCTATAGCAGCAGCAGCATCCAGACTTTTCTCATCCTCACACAATTAGTTTCCAGCTCTTTACACCACACAGACCTCACAGCATGTGGTGCTTACATGGACTGAAGTCAACAGAATCATTATTCCTGGAGCTCAGAGGTCAAGAGAAGCCCTGGGTAATATTTACAGACAGCCATAACTTACACAGTCCTACACAATTTCTGCCTGCAACAACTGTGAGTGTAAAGGGTAGAAGAGAGGAGTTGATTCCATGGCTTTACACTGGAACTTTGAGCTGAAAAGAGATCTGAGCACTCTGAGAGCAAGCCCAGGGAATGCTCCAAAATTAAATGTATAGTCCCTCATTAACTAATTGTGCCATCTCTAAACAAAGCTCTTAGCAGATTTGCTATTTTACCTYCTCAGAGTACAGACTACAAAATGTTTTCAAGTTGGTCTTTAAAGAAATTGGAAGTTTTCAAGTTGAGGCCTTGCCTGTCCCCAGCAGCATTCCCAGAACCACAACAYTCTCTAGCAAAAGGAAACAACTCAYACACAGAGCTCACAGTGCCTGAACTACAACATGCTCAGCAAAGCACCATGGCTAGCACTGCTGCAAGGGCAGTGATCTAACCACTCTGAAAGATGTCACTGCCACTCCCTGTCACCACACCCTTACCCAGAGCCCTATCCCCAACACCAAATTTCTGACAGTATTTTCACTATCTCCATTAAACACCTTGATATGGCTACAAAGCTACATGTTATAAACACACCAAGCAGTATTGGCAAACCTTCAGTCTCACAGGAATTCCAGGATGCTCTRTAACTTGAGCCATCTTCTCATCTCTTCTGTTTCTATGAATTTGTTATACCAGACCAGCACCTTGAAGTCTGTTCAGAAGTGACTGCATGTGTGTTCTGAGAGATGAGTCTCTGTTACCCGTGTGACTTCTCCACTTACACTTGGCAGAGAAACACTGAAGACACAATCTCATGCCTCATTACACCCTTGTTCTCAGGGAAAAGTACTGAGGAGTCACTGAAAGTGGTTTATATACTTACAAAAAAAGTTATCACGCAGAAGCAAGAAAGTACAATGAGAACAGCACATTTCCAACACAGTCTCAGACACCCTGGACATCACAGAAGTACAGAATTGAAGGGGTTGGAAGGGAACTCTTGAGATCATCCAGTCCAATCCCCCTGTCTAGGCAGGGTCACCTGAAACAGATGACACAGGAACATGTCCAGGTGGGTTTGGAATGCCACCAGAAACTCCACAAGTTCTTTGACCAGACTGTTCCAGTGCTCTGCAACCTTCCATGGAAAAAAAGTTCTTCCTCAGATTGAGGTGGAACTTCTTCATATCATATCATATCATATACACATATGTATGCACAAACTTCACTCCTGGCCATGAACTTTCCTTTATATCGACCAAAAAGCCAGATATGCCCAAGCTGKGGGACCTTCTTTTATTTCTACAGCAGCAAAATCCAGACTCATCCCACCTTCATACTTTTAGTTTCCAGCTCTTTCCACCACACAGACCTCACAGCATGTGGTGCTTATGTGACTGAAGTCAWCACAATCGTTATCCCCGGAGCTCAGAGGTCATGAGAAGCCCTGCAGCAGCGTTATCCCAAAATCAGCAGCACCCAGGGCTCTCCCCACCGCAGCCCCGCAGTGTCCCATCAACTCGGGGCTCGCTAGAAGGAAACCAGCCCGGTTCTAAAACAGAGCCTGTACTTAGGGGGGAACCTGATGGCTCTGCACAGCTCCCTCACCCACCCCAACCCAGGAATGAGGAGGGTCAACCCCTTCCCTGCCCCAGTCCCTGTGCCCATCACTGCCCACCTTGTTGTTGTACTCCTCTACGAAGCTCCCCAGCGCCAGGCGGAACCGTTTGTCGGGCCGGACGCTCCAGTTCATGGCGTACACGGTCCAGGGCGCCTCATATTTGTAGATCTCCTTCCGCTTCCCGTGCAGCGACATGGCTGGGCCGGGGGGGACGCGGGCCTGGCCCAGGGGGGCTGCGGGGGACCCCGGCTGGAGAGAGCGGGGTGGCGGGGTGAGCTGAGGGGAGGCTCAGCGCGGCCCCCGGGATGGGGAGCGGAGGAGGCACAGCACGGCACGGCCCGGCACGGCTCGCTGGGTGTGGGAAAGCGGGGAAGGCTCGGCTCCCGGGACGGCGGGAGAGGTTCGGCTCAGCTCCCGGGGCGGCGGCGGGGAACGGGGAGGCCCCGGCTCGTCCCCCGGTCCCGGCCCAGACCCGGCAGCGGCGGCAGCAGCGCTGAGGCCGTTTGGGACTCGGCCCCTCACACAACGGGAACGGAAGCCACGCGGGGAGCCCCGCCCACTGCGCGCGGATTGGCTGTCTTGGCTGTCACTCAGAGTGCCGAATGCCTATTGGTTAATCTGCCTGTCCGTTTAGCCAGCTGCGGTTTCCTATTGGTCCCGCTGCCTTTCACTCCTCACGGCCGCTCACTCGCTGGCTGGGGTTAACCCACGGCCGCGCTTGGCCCCGCCCCGAAGGGTGGGCGCGCTCTTTCTCGACATCTCATTGGCTGTCCGGGGTCGCAGTGACTGGAGGCGGGATTTTGATCGCTTATCGACGAGCGATTGGCTGCGAGTTATGTCAATCACACCAGCCCGAGGCGGGTGGGGCCACCTCAGGCGCCCGATGAGGCCGCGGGTTCGAGTCCCGGCGGTTCGAGTCCCGCGCGTGGCGGACGGGGTCGGGCTTGTCTCTAATTAACAGGGTTAATTATGGKGCTTATTTTTGGAAGGAGGCACCCGGCGCCTTACTGGGGGAAGGGGCGCAGCTGGACACGGGGTTGATTTAATCCCGTCTAGGGTGGGTGATGTGTGATCGYGGGTCCAGGCCCGTGAAGCACCGGTTCCTTCAAGTCCCACTCGCTGTCAGGACTCTTGGTCTGAGCTTTGCTTGAGCTGGATTTGTGAGATCATTTCTCACACACAGCTGCCTGGGCTTGCAGGAAAGCTTTTCCGAATTATTGCTGAGTCTCATCTGTGTCCTATCAGGAAGGGATTGTTTGGCAAAGCCTTCATCCTTGACCTGACTGCACTTGGGCTCCTGGATGAAACAACTGGGATTTGACCACACCTTTCCAGGATGGATGCTCCCAACGAACACGTCTGTAACTCACATCAGGTGCCAAAAACATCTTTATTAGCAAAGTGTACACTAAAACTCCAGAGAAAGAGATGCTCACAGTTTGACTACTCTCAAAGGGAGCTCGATACATTGGTTGAGCTGGCGGCCTAGGACTGTCACAGCATCTACCCGAGCGGCGAGGCGGCAGTGCTATGTGGGCTTCTCCTATTGGGAACGCTGCTGGGACAAGGGATGGCCAGGAGGAAGCACCTATTGAACCTTTATCAAAAGGGAGAAGCTCTGAGGGAYGGCTGGACAGGAGACGTCTGGGGCTTTTCAGCTTTCTGGGATTGTGCTTTTGAGTTTTGTGCTTTATGCCCAGGCCAGTGAGCGGTTGGATTTACCTGGGGAGTCGTGGGATGTGTGTTGGGGTTTGCAAGGCGTGTTCGGCCTCGCTGGAGAAGTCATCGCCCTGGGACTCGTGCTGAAGCAGGCTGAGGTGGCAGGGGCTGTTGGCCCTTCGTTTCTCAGTGGCAGTCAAGGAGGACAAGCTTCTGTCCCTTTGTTTTTCCTGTGCTTCCCACCTGCAGTTTCCCTCGGACCACACCGCGGAGATCTCCCACTCCTCCTCTGGCGATCATCACTCTTTCTGTAACACCTGCGGGCTCTTTTTTGAGCCTGGCACCAACACCACAGTCCCTGCTCCAGAGATCTCCAGCACAGTGGCCCCGCAGCCCAGAGCCATGGCTTTGCTCTCCTGTGGTCACTCTGGCTCGCTTGGCTCGTGCCCTTCTTGAGAAGAAGCCTTGGCAAAGAGGAGGCGGTGGGAGCTGCGTGGCCTAACCAGCTCAGTGGTGGCTGTAAGACCTGTTCTAGGTTCACTCTAATGTGCAAATGAAATCTATTCTATGGGAACCACTGGAAAACGTTGACCTTGGAAGCCAGCCACTCTACGCTTCCTGTCACGGTGGCAGAAGATAGCTACAAATTATACCCCTGAGCCAATGGCATTGTCCAATGTCTTACCCTTGCAGTCAAAATCAACATCAACTGACCGGGCTCGCAGTTGAAGTTCCTCTCGACTYGCTCTGCATCCTGCACGTCTCTAACTTCCAGGAAGCACGGGGTCGGAGAGGTGTCTCTGAATGTCCTGGTGCTCGGAAGATGCCTCCAARTGCTCGGGGAGGGAAGGGAAGCGAGAGCCCCGTAAGAGTCCCTGGGTGTTTGGTGCCCTTTGGTGGGGAGGCTCTGGGTCYGGGAGAGGTGGGGAGTGGTGCTCCTGCTCGGAGTAGACTGTCATGGTTTTGTCGGACGACGCGGAGAGCTGCATCCCGCTTGACAAGGAGTCCCTGGATTTCGAGTGGAACTTTTCCACCTCTGTGTAGCTCGGGCTCTGCTGGGAAAGGAGGAAGCACATGGGTTGTGGTAAAAGCAAGACAAAGCCATGCTCTCTTCTCATYAGCTTTGGARCTTCACCACGCTCCACAGCCCAAARTRTTATTTTTCATTTGAGGAAGSCTCAGAGCAGAGGAGCCCATTTCCCTCCCTACTGATGTGACAACCTGGGGATGGCAGGGGTGTTAGGGATGGCAACTGTGCCCCAAAATCCGCGATGCACTGAGCACATCTGCTCACAAGTCAACATCCCTAGGCTTTGCTGGGACCCATGAATGTCCAGCTGTGCTTTATCCAGAGGGAACTCAGCACTGGGGCAGCGAGACCACAGCAGAAACTGAGCTGGGAGAGCTGTGGGARCACCTTTACCTGCTCCTGGGCTGTYGGCTCCTGGTCCTCTGGAGGTGCACAGGGGGTGAGCGGCTCCAGGCTCCGCGGGACAATGCCGTACATGGCCAGGTTGTGAGAGGACGGCGAGATGGGGCTGTAGGCGGGTGGCACTTGGGACAGCTGGCGCTGCAGGAGCTGCAGAATTATGTTAATGTCTGACGACATCCTGGACTCCAGCCTGGGGACAGAGCAGCCCAGCGTTAGTGCAGAGCATCCCAACTGGGAGGAGGTGCCAGATCCCGCTGCCCCGGGGCAATAATGCTTTGCCTGCTGCTTGCTGAGGTTTTTAGAGAGCTCCAAACCAGAGAGATCAATCCTGCCATCTCTCTCCTGCCACACTCAATCATCCTCTGCCCAATTTTATGTGGAGCCAAACTGGGATCTGGAGCGGGGATTTGAAAAAAGCTAAAACTACCCTGGAGGGGGGAAAAAATTGCAATGGTTAGTTTTAATCTGGATCAATTCTCCAGGCCAGCTGCCTTTGCTGACAGATGGAGTAAGGCAGGTTGGTGCCAACCATTTTTAACTGAGGAATAGAAGGAAATGGAAAAGTAGAACTCTCTTCCTTCTGCTTTGTCCTTGACTGAGGTGAGTAGCTCTTCTCTTAACTCTGAACTGAGGCAGGGACACCTTCCACTGTCCCAGGSTGCTCCAAGCCCTGTCCAACCTGGCCTTGGACCCTTCCAGGGATCCAGGGGCAGCCACAGGTTCTCTGGGCACCCTGTGCCAGGGCCTTGCCTCCAATCTAAACCTACTCTCTGTCAGTTTGAAAAATCATATATTTTTTCTTATTTAGAGGGCAATGATGGTCATGAGGCTCATTTGCTTGAGCAAGAGGATGCTTGTAAATCTTTGCAGCAGGAAGAAGGGGCCTGCAAAGGGCTCCAGTCGTACCTGTGGGTGGTTTCCTATCTGCAATTACATTGAGTTTGGGAGCTACGGCAAAGTGACCGATCCCAGGGGTGGTGGCACTGTGGTGGATTGTGGGGGTGGTGACAGATGCCAGGGGTAGTGGCACAGCAGCAGATAAGGGGCTGGGCTGCAGCCAGGGTCAGGAACCTGCCCTCTGAGATGCTCCCGTGCCTTCCCCAGGGGCCAGGACATGGCATTGCACACAGAGCCCACTGCAGCCACCTCTGGAAAGCAGAAAAGTGATGACCCAGAGCCCCCCAGGTCATCTCCAACCCTTCCCACCTGCTGAGCTGGGCCTGCAGGAGCTCCAGCCTGGACTCRATCTGCCCTGGTCTGCAGTCACCGTGCAGGGGCACGTCCTGCGAGCCAGGCACCAGCGAGATGTGCTCCGCGGGGTGGGGCGGCCGCCGGTCCTCCCAGAAGGTGAACATGTTGGGAATGTCCAGGGGAGTGGCTGGAAGGAGAGGAGACATCTCAGTACTTCTGGCCCGCATCCTCCAGCCCCTCTGCTGTGGAGGTGCTCCAGATTCTGTTACCTGACATGCRTGGARTGCTGTCACCAACACAAATGGACAAAAACCACCCTGACATGCATGGAGTGCTGTCACCAACATGTATGGATGGACAGCCACCACCCTGACACACATGGAGTGCTGTCACCAACACAAATGGATGGACAGCCACCACCCTGACACACATGGAGTGCTGTCACCAACATGTATGGACAGCCACCACCCTGACACACATGGAGTGCTGTCACCAACATGTATGGATGGACAGTCACCACCCTGACACACTTGGAGTGCTGTCACCAACATGTATGGATGGACAGCCACCACCCTGACACACATGGAGTGCTGTCACCAGCACGTATGGATGGACAGCCACCACCCTGACATGCATGGAGTGCTGTCACCAACATGTGTGGATGGACAGCCAACACCATGACACACATTGAGTGCTGTCACCAACACAAATGGACAAAAATCACCCTGACACACATGGAGTGCTGTCACCAACACAAATAGATGGACAGCCACCATCGTGACACACATGGAATGCTGTCACCAACATGTGTAGATGGACAGCCACCACCCTGGTTTGTTGGTGGTTATGTAGACAGGTGAATTTTTGTTTCACCATTTGCCAGTGATTGACTCCCACAATGGGCTTTGCTTAGGGTTTTTTTTGCATGCAAAGCCATTTATTGTAAAGAAGTCTTGAATTTAAACAATTAATAATTAGCTTCTATTCCCATACAATGTATATAGCAATGGGTAAAGCTTGTCTTTTTTTTTGTTTCCTTTCTTATTTCTTTTTTGTCTCTTTTTCATGGTTTTTAGTTTTCTGTGAATTAGCTTTCCTGTGTCTAATTGTATCTATTTACCCTTTTACTCAGTTTTTTTTTTTTTTTTCAAAGCAAACAAATCTCTGCTGTCTAAAACTTTCACCCCCACCCTGACCTACATGGAGTGACASAGGAGGGACAGAGCAGATCCAACTGGGAAAAAAAGGCAGCCAGGACC